GTTCTGAATACAAATTGCCAAGTGACAGAAGCTTTGTAACACAATAATATAGTAAAAGGTAATTCCATGCATTGGCTAATAATACAAGGAGCAATGCTCGATACACAACAGATGCTAATTTCAACATTTAACAGTAGAACTCTGATCAAACATGATAAAATATACAATAAACTTCCCAAAATAGGTTAAAAAATTATTAAATTAATTAATACAGATGATCAAATAAAATCAACACGTGTAGATTTCCAAAAAAATTTTGAAAAGACAAAACAGAAATCAATGTCTATATTTAGAATCTACGAACAGTAACAACAGGTATAAAATGATGTTTATTCAGGAATATGTAAATCCAAAAATATACATGTACACCTTAATAAAAGATAAAATTATCCATTGTATTTTATGTAAGTTTGCTGGTAACTATTATTATCAGCTGAAATCTATCTGATAAATGTCAACAAATGATTTAAGGCGACTTGTGTCACCATCCAATATTGACATAAGAAAATATGCATGTGTCTGCCGACTTCTCTTTAGCCAGGTGAGCAAATTTCCTCCACATCACCACTGTTTTCATGCTACACATCCCTTTTGATAAGTCCATTATCTCAAGAAGGCACACAATTCTCTCGATCGATCTACTACCACAACTGCAGATATGGTGTAGACCAGCATGTTGATCTGTTTTTGTCAGAAAAGTTGATTTACACCCCAAATTAATGCAAATGTTGGTGGTGCCGCAGCAATACGTAACAAGTCAAATATGAAGCATTCATTCACCTGATGAACTATCTGATTTACCTTGTACAAAAACAGGCCACCTATTGATCTTATTTAATTGTTAGCACTCCAAAACCACTACCACAAGAGAAGAACAAACAATAAATATTGGAATGAAGGTGCCAAGATTTATCAATATTATCTATCCAAACACAAAAACCAGATAATTTTCTGAATTTAAAAAACAGAAATCAAGTTTCTTAAAAGCTTTTTATTAAATAAATGGAACATCTAAGAGTGCCTTATATTAAATTGCTTTTTCATAGTTTACACGACATCATGATTTTAAATTCTATTCCCATTGTACAACATATAGTTTAAAACAATCATTAGACACCATCCTTTCTACTGTCTTTTTTTTTAAAAAGTTCAAAATTGATAAGAAATCTGTCAATAACATCAATTATCTTTTCATTTCTATATTTCCTTTAATTTAATCAATGTTTATTCTGGATGAATGTAATTGATCTGTGCACTATGAAGAAAATAATGCCATAGTTTATCAATAATTAAGCATTTAAAAGAGATAAAAGATCATATAATCATTAAACATTTTTGTTTCTAACCTTTGTCAGACATTCATTAGTGCTTAGAAATTGCAAAAAAAGTAAATTTCGAGTAAACATCTTTTGACTATACAGTTATATTAGACATCAGAGTGTGACTAGAGTGTACACAAAATTTGAGACATATACTCTTCAAAAAAAGTAGGGGATATTCAGAAACAATACAAAACTGCGGAAATGCACTGCTGTTTTTATTAGAGGTAACCAGTGTATGTTAATAACAGGCCAATTGCCTACACATGAACATAAACAGTTCATATGGGCGGCTTATCTGACGGCTGCATTTCACTCGCAAAGAGATACACTGTCAAAAGTGAAAATGGACGTTTTTGATTTTTGTCTTAATAATGAGTAATTGCTCCACCAATCCTCAGACATTCAGCAATTCATCGTGGCACGCTCCTTATCGACCGTCCAATCACGATTTGGGGCAATCTGACCCACTCCTCTTGCAGTGCCACGGCCAATTCTTGCAGTGTTGTCGGTTGACTTCGACAACACGTCTCCCGATCATGTCCCAGACATTCTCTATAGGGGAAAGGTCAGGACTCATGGCTGGCCATAGCATATGGACAATATGGTGACGCTGGAGGTAGTCATTCACAACACGAGCGCGGTGGGCACGAGCATTATCATCTTGAAAGATGAAACGTCGACCTGCACGTTGAGCAAAGGGCAGGACTATCGGTGCCAGGATGTGGTCATGATAGTACACACCAGTGACCCTTCCTTGAACAATATAACACAACACAGTTCTATGGATAACAATATGCAAGTCTGTTCTGATTCCTCCCCACACCATAACAGACCCACGCCCAAATCTGTCATGCTGTCTGACGTTAACGTTAGCATGACGCTCATTTACACGCCTCCAAACGTGAGCACACCTATCGGTGAAACCCAGAGTAAATCTGGACTCATCTGAGAACATTAAAAGCGCCCATCGACAATTACCCAAATTTCTACACTGCCTACACCATTGACGTCTGTTTGCCATGTGCTGGAGAGTTATCGCGCATGCAAATGGGCTGCATGTAGCCGATTTCTAATCGTTTGGGGTGTAACTCGAATTCCTGTAACTTGGTACAAGTTTACAGAAAGCTGATTGGCCGTTTGTCCTCGATTTCGCAAGACCTGTGTACGAATGTATCGATCCTGAGCTTGTGTAGTGGCTCTAGTACGACCTGAACAAGGTCTATCATCAACAGACTGTGATACATTAAGCATGTTGGCTACAGCTCACTGTGTAGAACCCATTTGTAGCATGAAAATAGCACAGAGACATTCATCATAGAAAAGCAAACAGGGATAGGATAAACCAGCACGCTGCAGTTTTCACCAGCCACGTGTATGGCACTATTGCGTGTCGCATGTGCAGCTCAGTGGTTCTTGTGGTGATAAGTTCTTCATCTGTGAACATACTCTCAAAGCATGTCAGGTGTCCATGACTATTTATCATATCACAACCTGCATAGGTATTTGCATTTCAATATCCCCTACTTTTTTTGGAAGAGTATATTATGGAAGTGTTGGATTTTCAATTACTAGGTGATTAATCAAAATTAAATTTATTTTTTGGGTTGAGAGTGACAATGCTTCTTAAAAAGAAAGTGAAGTCAGTTTACAAATTAAAATGATTAAATCAGTTTTGCAGTTGCAGAGAAAAATGCATTTTTATACAAAGATATCCCACTATTATGCAATACTATTTGCAAGTAGTGTGATGAGTTTAACACCTCATTGTTTAGCCTTTCAAATACATGTGCAATAAAAGTTGTCGGCTAGATATTTGGTTGGTGTCTTTTACAAAGATAGGTTGCCAGGCAACGAAACATACGCCCACTGCAGCTATATCGTCCGAGCAGTCGACAAAAGGGTTGATGCATATTTATTCTTTTGTAGGTAATTGGGCATTTACAAGACAATTTCATACAGACCAGGTTATAATTTTTGTCGTTTGAGGGTTCACAAGGTTCTACAAACTGAAACAAGGGCAATAATTTAAATAATGCATATAAATTTCATACAGATAGGATGATAACTTTTGTCATTTGAACGTTCACAAGGTCCAGTAAAATGAAACAATGGCAACAACTCTAGAAATAATTGACGGAAATTGCTGAAATTCAACAGACCTGTTTCACAAAAATGATGCATATAAATTTCATACATATCGGATGATACATGTAACTTTCATCCATCGAGCATTATCAAGGTTGAACAAAGTGAAACAAGGGCCATAACTCTAGAAGTAATTATTTAAATTGCTGAAATTCAATAGGCTTTGTGGTTTCACTAATCTAAACAATGCATATAAATTTCATACAGATCCAAAGATAACTTTTGGCGCTAGAGCGTTCACAAGGTTCAACAAAGTGAAACAAGGACCATAAATCTAGACATGATAAACGGAAATTGCTGAAATTTAATGGGATTCTTCTTTTTACTAATTTAAATGACACATATAAATTTCATACAGATTGGCAGATAACTTTTGATGTTAGAGCCTTCACAAGGTGCAACAAAGTGAAACAAGGGCCATAACTCTAGAAGTAATAAACGGAAATTGCTGAAATTTAACAGGATTCTTCTCTTTACTAATTAAAATGACACATATAAATTTCATACAGAGAGAGAGAGAGAGAGAGAGAGAGAGAGAAATGGGGTTTAACATCCACTCGACATAAACTAGGTCATTTCGGGACTAACATATGGTTTAATTTTATTTACATAATTCGCTTGCGCGTAGGGGTCTTTAGCAGTGGGAGGAAACCGGAGAAAACCCACGAGGTTGGACAGGCGACCCTACTCCTTGCCACAGCACGCTAACCATTCAGCCATCCAACCCCCCACTAAATTTCATACAGATCGGCAGATAACTTTAGATGTTAGAGCATTCACAAGGTGCAAAAAAGTGAAACAAGGGCCATAACTCTAGAAGTAATTAACGGAAATTCCTGAAATTCTTTTTTTTACTAATTTAAATGACACATATAAATTTCATACAGATCGGCAGATAACTTTACATGTTAGAGCGTTCACAAGGTGCAACAAAGTGAAACAAGGACCATAACTCTAGAGGTAATTAAGGGAAATTGCTGAAATTCAATAGGCTTCTTCGTTTCACTAATTCAAATAATGCTTATAAATTGCACAAAGATCGGATGAAAACTTTTGGCGTTAGAGCGTTCATAAGGTTCAATAAAGTGAAACAAGGGCCATAACTTTAGACGCAATAAACGGAAATTGCTGAAATTCAATAGACTTCTTTGTTTCACTAATTTAAATAATGCATATAATTTTCACAAAGATCGGATGATAACTTTTGGCATTAGAGTATTTACAAGGTCCAACAAAGTGAAACAAGGGCCATAACTCTAGATGTAATCAACGGAAATTATGGAAATTAAATAGGCTTCTTCATCTAACTAATGTCAACAACATATATCAATTTTAAAACAATCGGATCATAACTTTTGGTGTTAAAGCGTTCACAAGAAATTGTGGTTGACCGACAGATGGACAGACCGATCGACAGATCGTCGAGGGCAACGGCAATAAAAATCTATTATTACAGAACAAATTATGATGTAACAGATAATAATGTTACTGTTCAAAATCAGACCAACATGTCTAAAAAGTTTGTTTACTTACATCATATGTTGAACTTCAGTTGTAAACCAGTTATTCAATGATGAAACTTTAACAATCCCTGGTAAAGACATCTTGCAGCATAACAAATTCGAACACAAAAAATATCTCTAAACCTTTTCAGCAAATTCTATATTAAAATCATTACCATCACTTCAACATCCATGGCTGAAAAGGAAAGGCTGTAGTTAATTATCAGTCAAAGAAACACACACCCATCAGCAACTTTATTGTCCAGGCTGCCTTTAAAATTAATTACAAATCTATACAGCCTTTCAAAGAGGCATTATGCAAGATTTACAGAAAGTGCTAGAATAGTTCAAATATAGATAATAAAAATTCCAGGCAAATTACTATATTCTGAGCAAAGTTATGAATGACTACCTTTATCAGGTTTCAGAGAGTGATGCAATTAAATTTGTATTACTTTTAATCCAAACACTTTTAATAAGCTTTGTATAACTAGATATTATCAGGTCTATTATAATAACAGTCTCCATGAGTGACATCATGCATTTTCGAAAAATTTTGGCTTGGCCTCCATTTTAGCGGTTAACGTAGATATGATGGACATTGTCTAATCAACTCAATATCTAAGCCATCCGATGTTCTAGATAGTTGATTATGTGTATTTATGTTGTCTTTCAAATCTGCTTACCTTTCATGAGTGTTTTTATACTTGGATGAGCTTAAATTATGTGCTTAATTACATAATAACAGTTTTTGAGATATATGTAAGACTATTGCATTTGAAAATAATCTGTTATAGAAAACATTTACATGTCATTTCCCAAATAGTTATGGTTTTATTTTGGCATGCTGGGAAAACCCTGGGATTTTATTTTAATGTTTAGCATTATTATACCAATTTAAGGTATTTATACACAATAATGAAAAGAACAATTTTCTGATGTAGCCTCTAATCAAAATGAGTAATGTTTTCATCTCAAAATTATTTATGTGTGATATAAATCACCACCAAATTACACCACTGTGTGTTTGGTTAATAATAACACAATATTTGAATTTGATGTGGGGGGGGGGGGGGTAAGATAATTGTCTAATTGACCAGTCAGAGCATTGGATTCCGGACTACACTGTCCCAGGTTAGAATCCCAGAATGTTTAAAAAAAAAAAAAAGCTTTCACTAGTCATTTGCATGGGACAAAAAAACAGAGGTCCACCTTTGTACACACAAGAACTCCTGACAATTGGAAGGGTAGGTGTCCACCGCGCATTGCACATGTAACCAAAGAAATGACCATGTTTGTCCTAAAATGACATGAGATGACATGACATTACACCCCATTCCATTCAATCTTTGATAGATCATCCAGTATCTATATTTAATTTATATCAATTTAAAAACCTAGAGTATCAATGACTATCACATTTACATACATTGGGCAATCTGTTTAATTTGTAGTATATATTACCTCTTCTATTGTTATACACGTTGACAAATATATCTATCTGTTTTATTACATACATGTATTGATACATTCCAGGTTACTTATCAAATTAGCTGATCAATGGAAAATAAATAGAGTATGAGATTACAGTACATTCCTTTTAGAACAATAAGTAATCTGGTAGATAATATGTTCATCTATTTCACCTATAAACTTTGAGATAGATATAAATGTAGATATTACTAAGTACCTGTTCCTACCACTACATACTTATTGTAATCTAACATTCAATGTACTATTGTGTAGCCCGGAAAGCTTTATGGAGACTATTATCTAATACGACATTAAAGCAATATTCTCAACCACCCACACCTTCTTGATCAATAGCCATGTGACTTGTGTGACCACAGTGCGCTTAACCACAAGAATGATGAATATTCTTTGAAACTGAAAAACAACATAGTCGAAATTCTTGACCCTAGGTTAAAAGCATTGAACTGTTAACACATGCACTAATACCTGGCAGCTCAACCACATAATAGTTTAGTAATAAGGTAAAGAGACAGAGAGAGAAATGGGGTTTAATGTCCACTCGACACAAACTAGGTCATTAGTAATAAGGTAAGACAGGCATGGTATAATTAACATCTTAAAAAGTATATGTACTCTACACAGTACTCAATTTACCAGTACATTTAATAATACTAAATTACAAACATATAAATTGTAACATAGTTCTGTCATCTATGCAATCATGAGTTCGATTCCAAGAGCAAGTGAATAAAGAAAAGATTGAAATTTTAAATGCAAAATTACCCAGTGGTGTTAAGTGAATTTTAAAACCCATTCTCTCTATTCCAATCAACATGTCAACTAGTGTTGCAATGCCAATGGTTAGAAAAACATGTCATGTCAAAATCGAACCAAAACCAGTTGACCCTTAAAGATACCAAATTGCAACATTTGTTTTGCTAATAACATGAAATAGAAGAAACAGACAACCATACAGGGCATACATGTATACTGAGTCACTGACACTATGATAAACAAAATATACCATTTGGTAATTAGGAAAAACAAATGTAACAGTTAATTGCTAGTAGCAGTTGAAACTGCTTTCAACTGATAAGTGAACCATTAATTGTTGTGATTAAACTTTTGCAACACTAATGTCAACTTGAACTACATAACTACATAATCTAATAAATATTTATATAAAAAAAAAAAAAAATTTAGCAGACAATGCCGGAAAACAAAACTACCATAGAAAAAACACCACATCAGAATTACAGAACAGTCCCATTTCACAAAGAACAATAATGAAAGAATCAAAATTCATTTAATTAGGGTTTCACACTGCGTAGCCAGTGAAACACTATTGTTTTTGTTGGGATTATTATTCTTATTATTATTTTTCCATTTGAGCATATCTCAGAAACTACTTGTCGGATCGATTTGTTGTCTTCGATTTTACTGAGAAAGTGGGTTTGACTTAAATTTTAAAGCTATTTCTAATGTTCTGTGACAATGCAAAATTATGTCCAAAATCACTGAAGTTTCGTTTTTCGAAATTTTTCTGTAATATTATCAATAATTATCGGATTGTAATATTTGATACATTTTGACATAGCCGGAGACAAGGCACATAGCTACAGTTCTTTAGATTTTTTATTTTCTACGAATCTTCGGAGATATTAGGTGCCAAATTTTTAAAATTTAAATTTTTACGAAAAAAAATTTTTATTAATGAATATTTTTATGTGGTATTTTACACAGGGTTAAAGTCTAAAGAGTCATCTGATTTGACCGAAAACGCCAAAATTCTTTGTCACCGTATTTTTCCTTGGCCACCATTGGCTAATTCAGTTTTTCAGTCCTAGATTAATTATTTATTGTTCGATTTGTATAAAACAAAGTTCATATGCTCTGTGGTCCAAAATGTCATTTTTGTTGTTACCGGTAAAGTTTCCTTTAGGCAATGGAAGTGACGTAAATTTAGCAAAAACTACAAATTTGACAGTTTGGTACCTCTTTTTGAAAGCAAATATTAGTTTTTTCAAATCTGGTATGACTGAAAGGGTGTGACCTGTAAAGGTGCAGAAAACATTGGGCTCATTATTTTTTAATTTCATTTCCATTTAAAAGTGAAAAAAGGTGAAAAAGTGAGCTATTTACAACCCATTCAGGCATTTCATATTTTACGATATTGCTTCGCAACTTTCATAAACTTGTACCAATAATCCATACTAAGGGAATGTATGTGAAATTTAGTTTGTAATATGAGCAGTTGCCGAGAAATGGTCAATTTTGCATGAGTCACTTCTTACACTAGTTTGCCTTTAAAAGAGTCAATTATTATTGGATTTGATGAATAATGTCAATTTTAACTAGGTCAAACCAATTTAACATTTTCAATGTCAGCGGAAATGATGTTATTTGGGCAAAAACTGTATTTATAGCCTTCGAAACAAATAATTTATCCAAATGAGTCGTATTTGTTATTTGTTTAAAATTTTGATATTTGATTCCAATCAACTAATAGAATGAACCCATTCTAGAAATAGACGATTTTCAACAGGTCACTTTTTAAGGTTTTTGGTCCATAAAAGTGTCAATTATTATTCAATTTTCATAAAATTTTCACTGTGTGATACCTTATTCCATTTACAATTATATACAAGCAATTTAAGATTTTCATTATCAACAGAAGTAATGTCATTTTGGCAAAAACTGTATTTTTAGCCTCTAAAACAAATACTTTTTTGAAGTAAGTGGTATTCATTATTCGTATTAAATTATATTTGATTCCTATGGACAAACAGTATTAATCAATACGATCATATTGATATCACATAATTGTTTTTAACATCTTTCTTTGCCAAGAAATAACCAAATTTGTCAGGATCAGTGTGCTATGAGGGACATTTTGACCTGACACCGGCACTATGGCCAACTCTTTTATCGAATTCCAACTGTCAAAGGATCTTTTACATGCATGCCAATGTGTACGTGGGACTTTGGTTTTCCGTCCCATCAGAACGACTAGACAGCTGGCCTTGTCATGCCCTCCGTCCTGCATCACTGACAATGGGGAATAAAAATTATAATTTATACCGGTACTAAACTAAACGTAGAGCCCATGGGTAAGACGCTAGCTCGCTAGCCTGGAGGTCGGGTGTTCGATCCCTGCATTGGCCTAGAAACTTCATCCAGATTTTCCGGCGTGGTTCTCCCTTGTCAGTGATGCAGGACGAAGGGGCTGACAAGGAAAGCTGTCTAGTCGTTCGGATGGGACGAAAAACTGAGGTCCCGTGTACAAATTGGCATGCACGTAAAAGATCCCTTGGCAGTTGGAATTCACTATAAGAGTAGGCCGTAGTGCCGCTGTCCAGGCAAAATTTCCCTCACAGCACACTGTATGGCGTATGCCCGTCTTCATTAGCCCAGGTAAGGAGCAGAACAGTAGGACGTTAAACTCCATTTCATTTCATTTCATTTATAATTATAGGCCCTACATGTGAATCATACTAAAGTATAAATTAAAAGTGTATATTTTATAATACTGCAAGTCGAAATTAGGTCTGAGTAGAAACCTTGAAACAATGTATCTATTTACTTAGTAAATTGGCTGCCATTACCCTAATATCATGTGACTATGATCACCTGAACAACAAAAACAACTTCCCCGCCCACGGAAACATGTGCTTGTGACCATGTGCGTGGGAAGACCGAATACCCTCGTGATAATAAAGAATATTTGTTATGTTATACCTTTAGGCTATAAACGACCCAGCTGATATATTGACCAAGGTTGCATAGTATACTTTCCGGGTTGTTTTAGCAGTATCCAGTGCATACAGTTTGGGTGGCCATCATTTATATTTTGACAGAAGACCTTACGTTTAAAGAGCCGCCATTTGCTTTGGTGCATTGCGCATGCCAGGGATGACCTTTTTGAATCACGTGCTAAACTTATAAACCACCGAACAGGGTTTATGCTGTTTTAATAATATGTATGAAATAATGCCAAAAATACTTTTAACTTGAAAGGTAGGCGAATATTTCATTCATAAAATTTGAAAAATGACTTTTCAATAATTCGTTTTAAATTCAGTAAAGTAGTTCAGTTATATGTAAAATAATACATTTGGAAATGCAAGTAAAAGTGAAATCATCTTAAAATATTAACACGAGTCTTATCTAACCATATTTGTTAGATCTCAGGTTTTAGAACAAAACGTACACTTTTTATGCTCTCCCGAAAATTGTCAGGAATAGACCATGCATTGACGCCTGACAAATGTAAAGCGGGTAAGGTGGTGGGGGGGGGGGGCGCTCGAGGAAGTATTTTGTATTTATTGGGTTTTTTTTATATTGATTTGCAGGGCATTATTTTACTGGTTATAGACTATAATACAAATGAAATTATGACACCCACATTATTTTTATATTTATTAAAATATATTAAAACCGTAGAACTATGCACGGAACTGGTCATTTTGGTAACGGAATAGAAAGGTCTCAGAGAAAATTATACTTTATCTTTTGGTGATTTTTATATTAATGGTTTAATCACACCATGCAGATTAAAAGAGAAATAACGTCAAATTTGACTCGTTGGTGGTTTATAAGGCATTGCGATATAATTGCTCTAAATATCAAGTTGTAGCAACATTTGTATAATCCATAGGCCCACATGAATATGCATGACTCGTAAAGGCAGTCATTGCTCAAGCATGTATTAGAGGTTGGCTGAGAGCGTTGAGTCACGACGAGAAGGAGTGGCCTATAAAACTAACCACATAGTTTGGCTCATTCACAAAACCACATAAACCAGTTCCGTGTCATATCGTCCTGTGGTATAGTAGTGTTGATATTTCTTTAACCAAATGCATTTACCCGCAGATTTGAACGGTTTGACGCCGTTTCCAGACTCACACAGCGCCATGGGAGATGTGTTCCCTGGTGACAGACCCATTTCTTCAATATTGGGAGAGCACCCAGGGGAACTAGTGAGAACCGGCAGCCCAAACTTTGTGTGCTCTGTCCTACCGTCACATTGGAGATCAAACAAAACTTTACCTGTGGCTTTTAAAGTTGTTTCTCTCGGAGATGTAAAAGACGGGACCAAAGTTATCATACGTGCTGGAAATGACGAAAACTTCTGTGGAGAAATAAGGAATTATACAGCATACATGAAAAATCGTGTAGCTAAATTCAACGACTTGAGATTTGTTGGTCGTAGTGGTAGAGGTAAGTGGGTACAAATCTTTATTCTTTCAATACTTTATTAATGATTTTACGGCTGACATGCCCATGCCGATTTGTATCGGCCACTAAACCAGGTTATAATGACATGACGACCATACCGGTCTCAGTTCTCATAACTATAAGTAGTCAGTAGTGTAATATTGTTTTCTTTTCTGTGAGCCTTGTAAATGACACGTTACTTGGCCATTACAGAAAGCAGAAAGTGACATATTATGGTGACATGATATATATATAATTTAGGTATAAAGAATTGAAAACTGACGAGTACATCCATGAGGAAAATAAACTCGGTGGACTTTAAATATTACCAGTTTTATCACATAATTAGCTTTTGGTTATTAAGTGCATTTATGCTCCCTGTGTCAGTGGGTGCCAATAGGAGTGGTAAAAAACAACTCATCGGTTTAAAGTCGACAAACATGCTACTTTAATTAAATCATCATTTATCTAACATAAACATGTGATATGTTACTTATTTGACGGTTTAAAATATATACTCTTTGAATTTTTATAATATTTCATATCATGTTTATTGAAGGGTATTTAAATGATATATACATGTATGTTTGTAATTGATGTTACTATTTTACAATGATATACCAGTATTAGTAATCCACAGTAACACAGTAATGTCCCAAAAGTGAAAATATATATCAGAAACATTATTTCAAAATGTATTATGTTAAAAAATATAAAAATGTCAAGTGCCCATTATTTGAATAGCATAATTTTGAGAAAATACATGCTTGTAAAAGTACTGTATTTTTTAAAACTGTTTATTATAGACTGTGTTCATATTGATTCTACCTGAAGCAAATAGATTCAGCCCAAAATTTGTGTTCAACGGAGAGGCCTTTACGCACTTTTACACATAGCTTTAGATTCCTTGTTTTGAGCTTAATCAAATATAATGCTAATCATATAGATCAATATGAACAGATTCTTGGTATTCCATTTTTCCAATATATCGATTCAATAATATATCTATGATAATGGTATAGGCCTACAAGTTTGAAAAGCTGGGATGGGTTGGGAGGGGTGTTAGAGAAGACCATTATATAGGACCTTGGCAGGCAAAATTCTATTCTATTAACCAATGATCAAATGAAAATCCAGTGGACAAGTTTGGCAAAATCGATTAATGACAGCAAAATCATTACCCATCCAATCTTTAAATGACCTAATTACCCTCACAGAAAGTAGCGTATCTTTAATAAATACATGTACATGTATATATTATAGAGGTATTATCACTTTCAACAAGAGTTTGTCAAATTCCTTGAAGACCAATACAGCATATAAATTCAATTCTGAAACAATTGGCAGATTTGTCTTAAATTTTGCACTTACATATACAATCCTATATTTTGAATATGTCAGCTATTGAGTCAAATCGAAAAATAGACTTGTAGCTGAGGAAGCCTCTTTACAATAAATCTTGATCTGTCTGCCCACATGCACTTTAAAGAGAGAAGTATGTTTAATAAAACGTAATTGAAATTCTTACACATTTTATCCCTTCCCACTCATATCAGATTCTGTACATTTAACAATAAATTTTAATACTGTGTGTGATTTCATTTTTGCATATTTATGGCTTATAAAAAAAATTATATTTTATGGATGTTTATTAATTTCATATGAAATAGTTACAAATATTAACTGAATGAAACTAATCTCTCTTTGTGAGCTTTCTAATGATACATCATAAAAATACCATCCCTTTCAATTTTTAAGACAAGAATGGTGGGGGTGAGAGTGAAATAGGGCTGTAAATATTCAGGATTGGTTTGTGTATATAATCCTACATGTATATGATCTGATTTAAAGACATATTGATTATTTTCTTTTTTAAAGAAGATGGGCCTCATGCGATCAATGAGAAATTAAAATTGTGAATGAAGACCAATTGTCATTTCACAAAACAATTAAAACATAAAATGTAATTAAATCAACAATTTTTTTTTTGAACAAACTCAAAGAGGGAGCTTACATATTAGGTGTCTGCTTTAAAGCTATTGACAATAGATTGGTTCATGCTCAATTTTTTTTACAACAAACAGACACTATTCCGGGGTTGTTTTAACATTATATGATAAGACTTGCCATAAAAACTTCATTCATCAGCAATGGACGAAAGTCGAAGTGCGTAATGAGTGTATTTTTTACTCGGCTTTATATACCAATACATGTTTGTAAAATACCTCGTGTGACGTATATTTGCTGCGACATCCGAAATCACGTGCGCGGGACTAAACTTTGCTCACTTCAGAAAATTTCTCGAAGAGGCAATCAGACAGATAAGTGGGTCAGTTTTTATAAGGACAAATATTGGAGTCTCTGAACCACTCTACTATTGAATTGATGTCAACTAAAACTAATAGAATTTGATCCATTTTGTTTAATATATTCATTCATTGAAATTAACTAATAGTCAGGAATGTACAAACAGATAAAAGAAAATGTATTGATTTGAGATATTTATAATTTCTAGAAATGCACCCCAACAAAACTTAATAATTTCAGTTGAATCGAATACAAAAAATGACCTAGAATAATCAAATAGTAAAATCAGCATTCACTATGATCACTAGCTTTTTTTACCATAGCATCATTTAGCAGTAGTGAAATTGGGGCAATAACTTAATTATAACTAAAGTATGTGATTTGCCTAAAGATTCAGGTAATTTCAAATTCAGTCCCTCAAATTTTTATAACATTTGCTCTTACATTAAGTATGTTCTAAAGGTATTTTTACACTCTCCCATTAAGATATTAAATTTCTTGAAAACTACAAATAGGTGTATATTAAGATTTTTTAATTAGTTAATCCTATTAAGAAAATTTTATAAATGTAACCTACCTAAAGGTGTAACCTTTTAAAGTATCAAATATTACAATGTAGGGGATCATATTGAAAAAATTGTTGCATGTAGCAAACAAAGAATTTTGTTCCTCGCCCAAATCTCGACTCATCACTCGAATTAAGACAGGATTTAAGACGTTTTTGAAAGGACAAAGACAATATCGTTGGGTTACACGTTTTACAGTAATAAATACACATGGTTAATTTATGAGTCCAACTAAGCTATGTACTGGCTGCTATTGTTTCCTGTGACATGGAAAAATTACAATGCAACAGAACTTGTTATTAAAGTATCACATAACAATTCCACTCATCTTCAGAGTCTGGTCGAAAATTGGCTTCTGCACATCTTAATGTTATTTGCTGTTACTGTAACATTATGAGCTAGCAGAGACCAAAAGTGTGTGGGACTCCATGTATTGTGGCTTAATGCTTTTAAAGAAATGGTTAGCTATTTTATGGTTAGTGTGGTCACCCACTGTGTTTAAAATATGTTGATGGCAAAGACTTGGGACCGACACTTAAAAAACAATATATTATGCTTGCTTGACTTATTAAAGGAGGAAATGAATGAAATTGAGAAAAAGGAGTGTTTATTTTTTTTTAATTTCTGTCATATAACAAATAAATAAAATGGCAATGAAACTGAAAACTTTAAAATGTTTTTTAAAGTAAATATATTAAATCTCCTTTATGTATGATGGGATATTAAGAACAAGTGATTAAATTTTAGTTGAGTAGCTTTTGATTAAACGTTCATAAGATGAAGTATTAAATGAAAAATTTTAATGCTACTCAACGATTTGTAACCATAATCTTAAATCAAATAGACTTGACATGTTTAGCAAGAAAATAAACTTTCAGGTATTATTTAGAACTAACTTGGTGCATGGAATTTTTTTTATTTTATCAGGAATGTTCAAATGTACTTTAATGTATTTTTGTGGGTTAACATTAAAGGGACAGTCCACAGTTGTTATGCTAAGGAAATAAGGAAAGTAATAGAGAAGTCCTTATGTTGATGAAGTAGGGACAGTAATAAAATAGCCCTTATGCGGAGGAAAAAAGTAAAGTAATAAACAGTCCTTATGTTGAGGAAGTAAGGAAAGTAATAAAACAGTTTAGAGGCTAAGGAAAAAAAGAGTAATTATTAACAATTCTTATGTTGATGAAATAAAGAAAGTAATAAAACAGTTCTTATGCCGAAGAAATAAGTAAAGTAATAAACAGTCCTTGTGTTGATAAAGTAAAGAAAGTAATAAAAACAGTCCTTATGCTAAGGAAATATTGATAGTAATAAACATTTTCCATACGGATTAAATAAGGAAAGTAATAACATAACATAGTAAAAACAAAGTATAATTCATTTTCAATAAAATTTCATCAATACAGGTTGTGGATGTAAATTATTAAAATAAAGATAAGTTTTTTAAAAATTTCCACCACTACTCATTGACCAAACATACTAAATACAGTTATTATGAGCCTTGAAAACAACACAGGTTATACTGTACGCAGTTGAGTAAAGAGAGCGGGTGTCGCAAGTAGTATTTAGGAGTTGAAGCGTATATCCAATCTGTTGAATTGTATTTAGCGCTAGCTCACATTAAAGGTTAATCTAAGTGAAATGACTGATGCCCACCTAAATCCTCCCAAATGTAACAAAAATATAATCTTCTGACGAGCATAATAGTTTAGGGGACAGGAATATAATTTTCTTGAGAGCATAAAGGTTTTTTGTCTATTTTTGGTTGGGGAGGGGGTCAGAAATATAATTTTCTTGAGTTTATCAAACTCCAAAACATAAATGATCCTGGATAGACATATTTGGAGAATTGTTTCTTACGTAACTGAGAATTTACAGAGTAGTGGATGTTCAAGGCTAGTCCCTGGATCCATTCACTTCACTTGATATACATGTATATGGTTGTTGTCTTTATTTATTTTGATCTACATGTATGATCCATGGAAGCGCAACTTATAATGATTTTTTCTCAATCTTTTAAAAGGCTTATGTAACACCTGCAATATTGGATTGCCAAAAAAGAATCACAGATTATTAAAGGTGACAGATTGTTTTGGCACACAATTTATTATCTTGTGTGCAAGTCTAACACAAGGTAATATGTAAGGTGCAAGAAGTTTGGCCCTTCAACAGTGAAGTAATCTGTTTCAGTCTTTATTGTTTACTTTTGTTAGCGTTCCCATCTTGGGGATCTTATGGAGGTTGAATTATTTGAAAAAAAAAAACATGTTGAGTTCAATACTACAGCTATCAGGCGTATTTCTTCCCGATCTTTTTGATGTTTCCTTGTTTATATAATGTACAACTTGACGCCTTCCAAAATATTTTGTTACCTTTGAAAAATTCTTGAGTAGAGAAAATGACAGTACATATATTTACCCACTTTGTTTAGTGTGATGGAAAACTAAAATGTAGTGACAGAAAATTTATGAAGTTTTTAAATTATTTGTTTATGTTTCCATTACTTGATCTCTGACACACTATACTCAGTGAACCAATGGAGTGAAGAAAAATTAGGCAATTAGCATGGATTTTGTAATTTCATGCTTACATAAGTTTATCATAGTAGTTATTATTCATGTGCACAACAATTGTTTTTGACTGTCAGTGCCATTTTGATTTCCTCCTCCTGTCACAAAAAGATGGCAAGTTGACGAAAACCACTGGACAAAGACACTCTACCCTTTCTGTTTGACTTGATTGATGAAGGAACTTGTGTGAGGACAAGCCCATTGAAGAAAACCCATGTGTTAAAATTGCCTCCAGTTGATGACTTTGTCTTGCATAACAATAAGATTTTTACAAAGAAGGGTCGTCTTGAATACGAAGGACTAGTCTAACAAAGCAGTCCTTTCATAGCAGATGTGCTAAAATAGTTCACTTTCTGTTTTATTTTAACTTAAAAGAATTAAAGTCTCAATACTAAATACACACTCTATTATTTTTATGGTCAATATTGGAGGGTTCAGGCCACAAACTGAAAACCCCCCAATAATTAAAACAAACATTGGGTGCAGAATAGTTGCTAATTTTCTACAAGTCTTGTTCTTTCTGTCTTTATTTTTTTAATTCCGGAAGACTAATCTCATGAAAAATAATGGTAACAAGGTCATATTATAATATTTACTAAGATTTGGGTATTAATTTACTATCCACCTGCTACTGTTTTTATGTGATTTTTGTTTTCTAAGAACCAATATATATCGATGAAATGTTATTGCCATATATCTGGATTTTTTCTGTTGAGGTTAACATTTCCCATAATAATACATGATAACATCCAAAGGCAAATTGTAGGTGGCAATTATTTTTACCAATTCATGACATTTGGATTATTTTGCAAGCTTGATTAATTTCGTTCTGGTAGACAATCCTAACACTAGGGAATTATATAGTGTACAATTTAGCCATTATTTAAGTAGCTGTTAAAATTGTGAAATCTGTGTCACATATTAACTGCGATTGAATATAAGTATATTTAGAAAGTCATGTCAACTGATCAATGTTCTAGTAGCCTACACAAGTTGTGAGTGGGAGCTGACTGCTGCCAGGATTTCACAATAATGGCAGGTCTATATTACCTACACATGGCTCGAGGTTATATTCCCTAGATTCCTTATATTGCAACTTGTGTGGGTTTTCACTGATGTGGCTAGGGGGAAATAACATGTCAATTTAGGTGATTGATTTATTATTTAAACTATATTTAGTAAATAAAACTATGTTCTATACTTAACCATACAGTACATGTATGTATATTTATTACAAACACTAAAAAATTACACAATAAATTGCATTTTTTATGAGCTGGAATTTTAACTCAAAATTGTTTACAACGATTAAAAAGTGGTTGTGGCATCAACCTTGAACTCTATCGCATTTGTTATTTTGTCAGGAAGAAAATTGTCTTCAGTTTTTGGAGTATAATAATTACATTTGATACAGTTGACGTGAATCAATATGGTAGGAGAAGAAAAATCGACTGCTCAGACTCCTAAGCTAATTAAGACTAATTCAGTGTGTCCTCGACATGAGGCCAAGTCCTATTAATTTGACCTTCGACACAGGCCGCAACCTTTGACTCTTTAATCAAAACCCTTGACAGATGAACAAAGAAAGTAGCAAGTTGATCAAGCTCAGTTTGTTATTTGTACAACTGCCTAGTTTAACAGGGTCTCGCATGCTAATATTTGATATGTCTTTTATTTTACACTATAGGATTAAAAACAAGTCTCTAGAGAGTGTGTATTAGTAGACAGAGTGAACATGATTATTTTTATCAATACACTCCCAGGCCTTTATCTTGCTGATGTGTATTCATATTTTGTTTGATGATATAATAATTATACAAATGAATATGATAATATTTAATATCAAAATAACACGTAATAAGATTTAGATAATAAATAAATCATCCAGGTATTTTCTCTGATAGAGAAATTGAAAAATTAATCCAAGTGCCCCTATCGGTCTCTCTACATTTAGCTTATCATTTCTGATCAGAGCCTATAAAAGTTTTCACATTTTTGAACTTAAAATGTGTTTTGCATGGAACTGTATTGTATCAGGACACAAAATTAGTATCAATATTAAACAGCAACATGCTCATTAATAAATCACATAAATTATTCTCTACAGAAGAAATAAAATAAAGGAATATGATTAATAAGTAATGATAATGAGGTGTCTGCATAGAGACAGAGTTTTTCCCCTCACTAGTGTTAAAATAGAGAGATATGAAGATTAGGACTAATCCCCCAGTTTAGATGCTGATTAATTTGGCAATTATGTGTCAGGCAGCTCATTAGCCCCTGACATGCCTGATGTGAACCAGGATAAAACTCTTGGAGAACTGAGTTGATAAATACAGTTAGTAAGATGTAGTGTTGAATTATTGATAATAGGCTTGACAAACAGTATGTTTTACCAATCATCATGTGGCCAGCCAAGAGGAACCAATTATTACAGCTTTGTGCTAAATTAGCCTTTTGTGACATTTTGACTGTAAAGACCCTATTTTGAACAAATCATGCTCCTAATGAGTAGCACCTTTGATCCGGTTTTTTTTTGCTTTAAGAGATTTGTCACAAATTCTGCATCTGTCAAATTGAACTTTTCTATATTATCACAAAAATCTTTCTTTTTTTCTGGATTTGGAATTGTTAAAATGATTTCATGATACACAAGGAAAGAAAAGAACAATATTATCCTTTTTGATGTGTGTCACTCAAGTCATGTGTCAGAACTATAATGTTATCCATGAATATTCTTTTGACAGGCAAAAACATTATTAAAGCTAAATGATATGTGAGGATTATAATTAGATGCAGTCAAGAATATTTGAAAAATATCCATCTTATGTAAAATTAAGTAGCTGTAATTTATTTGATGTTCCCGATTTGAAATGTATATGCAAGCGTAATTAATAGGTGGATGTAAGAATTAGTTTGTATATAGAAAATTCAATGAATAATTGAATAAAAACATTAATATGTGCTTGGATTTCATTTAATATACAGCTGATCTGGCTAAATAAATAAATATTTAGAATTTTTTTAAATTTGACTTGTTGATTTGCCGTGTGGGGTGAATATCTGCATAGTTTTAAATTATTAGGTCTGCAGGTAGACCAATGTTGAAATATAATTGATTTTTTTTTTTCAACAGTTGAAACTTCAGGCCAAATATGGAGCTAGAATATTAAACAAAGTGAAACTTTAGGCCAAATATGAAACTAGAATTAATATACATATCTTAATAATAGTGATTTTCAACCCATTCAAACAACAAGATATAAAGGGTTTTTATTTAATTTTCAGGAAAAACATTTACCCTTACAATAACAGTTTCATCAAATCCACCTCAAATAGCCTCCTATAACAAGGCCATTAAAGTGACAGTTGATGGACCCAGAGAACCGAGATGTAAAACAAGTAAGGATGGATTTAATTTTCCAATTGGTATACTGAAACATTTCTCCAAGGGTAGGTTTGGTTTCAAATATTTTTGATGTTGTCCGCTAAATGGGGTCTGCTTCCTGTAAGACCACACTGGTAATTAATCTTTTTTTAGTTTTTGTCATTTTTCTAAAGATTTGTTTCTTTGATGTTGTCATCTTTTGTAGTGGGAATTGTTATTTTAATGTCCTCATATTGTTTTATACCAAAGGAATGTGAAATGTTTTGGATTATATATGTCAGTTATATATTCTGTATTCATCGAAATAATTCTTACTTGAAAATTGTTTAAAAAGATGCACCAGCCGTTTTTGTATTATAATTAGAAAAAAATGTTCTTTTAATTACATTTTTAAAAATAAATTAATTTTTGATAAATTCTGTAACCATCACAACAGTATAGATAATAGTTCAATAAATTTATATATTATAAAAGAAAGGGCTTGAGTCCATTGTAGATAGTTACCGATGCATTAAATAGTGAGAACCAGTCAACAGGTCCCCTATACAAATGAAGTGATAATGGCTTTACATGCAGGCATCATTTAATATTGTAAGGACACTTGACCATGCCTCGTAAAGCCACGCTCAATTTCCTTTGTTTTGTATAGTTAACATAATATGAAAATAAGCTTTGGGGCCACGGAAGTCAATTAGATGAATAACAACATTTTTTGAATTATGAAATCTCCTCAATTCGTGCAATAATAATATGACGATATTATTTATTATACAATACTCACGTCTGCAAAGGTTTTTTTCTTAAAAATACATCAAGTTTTTGTTGAAATAACTTTCATGTTTTTGTCTACTTATGACCATCATAAAGTAATCCTTAAACATGTTTCAAAGGTTAATTACAAACATCAAAGTCAATTCTAATTTAGATTAAGTGAGAAAAAAACAATACTTTTTTTTAAATCTCCAAAAGCAACTATATGGAAACATTTTTACCTGGTCTTTGTTAGGAATCATATTTGATGTTAGTAAATATGGCTGAATAAGTTATTGTAACATTTTCACTTTAAATACTCATTAGCTAGCAATAGGAAAGTGATATTTAATGTAATTTGCAAAAAATATAATGCACACTGATTGTGGTTGAAAGAATGCTTGATAGGGGTAGATGACTAATATTTGTGAAGAGCCCTGCAGTTTCTATCACATCATTTGGCAACAATTGTTGCACCTGCTTTCAACCTAGGTCCCTGCAGGGTCATATGTCAACAATATGTATTTTAATGTGTAGCCAGTCATGTACACCTCTAATTGTCCAACAGACTGGTCGCTTATCCATTCTGTTCAATAAAGGGTTGTCAAATTATGATACAGTCTGTCTCTTGTGTATTGTAGTATCAATTCTCCACAAATCATAGGTGTGAAAAATATGAAGAAGTGGCTTTATGGTTTTTGACAGGTTCTTTGGTTGAGTTTTAAATCCACAAGTTGAAAATATGTCACATCACCCATTGTCATCAATCATCCATAGGTCTCATCTGCCCTGCCACGCTTTTTTCTTGGAAACAGATCTTGGAGATTTTACTTCAGGGGAATAATTAGAACAAATGGGTCTCGAAAGTCATTAATAATGTCTTTATATCTTTGTTTCTTGTAAAAAGTATTTTTATGCATGTACATTTCTCACAAGCTTTCAATATTTGCATGGATCATTGTAAAAAATAACATGAAATAAAAATCTATTATTTTATTTTAATTGGGATGTAGGAGAGTATTGACATTTCATTCAGAAAAAAAGTATATTGATGTCCTTTTTTCTTCACAGAATTAATTCACACAGAGGATCGTCGCCTGCCACTCAGACCTGGACCTTTAGATCTAAACATTCCCAGAACTACTCTATCAGATCCATTAGCAGACAGACGGTTTTTGCATTTGGCAGAACTTGAATTATTGCGCCGTGAAACAACCCAAGCTTCAGAAATCCAAACACTTTCTCGTTCAGAATCAAATGGAATTCGTTCAGGTAATAATGGACATTTTAACACATTATTAAATACAATATGACAAATGTGTACTTAGTTAAAAGATAATATTTTACTGAAAATCACTGGTCGTCAATAGCATTTATCTGATTTTTCACGGCTAAATCCATGCTAAAATGTACTCAAATTGATTATTTAATATTGAATTAAGAAAACAATATCAAAATATTAATGGTATTTGATGGGATTAAGGAGGACCACCAAAAGATTTCATCGAAAATTAGAGGTGGCACTGACTGGTTTTGACCATATCCTATATGTATATTGTCTTCAGTGGAGGTGAAATGTTCACAAATATTCAATCCATTATATCTTTGTAAATACTGAACAGAATTAAACTATTTTTGGACTGCTGTTCCTTTTAGATATTCAACTTTAACAATACTGCGGTTTGCACGGGATAAAAATGTCCTCAAATGACGATCACAGATTTTAAGTTCTCTGTCGATTAATGAAATGTCCTCCTGAAAAAGGAGGGTTTTGCAAGATAGAGGTTAAGATGATATTGATGTTTCTCAAACGCATTGATTGCATGAAACTCGGGTGTATGCTTGTTTTTGTGAATATAAAATGCTGATGGTATGATATATGTTATTGTTTCAGATAAACATCAAGAGAGCAGCCGGAGTCATTGGTTTGATACTATACCACAGTCAACAAAAGACAGCCATTATTCACAGATTTTAACATCACATAGTCAATCCCAACCTATAAGAGTCACTCCATTACAAGGTTTGTTCACATAATCATAAACAGAATCCTAAAAATTAACAACACTTAAATTGACAAGCATCAATATTTTTGATTTAAAGATAGGAATCAAAAATATGCTATAATATTATAGGTTAATATCTAAAAAGATTTTAAAGATAGCTTTTGTCTGCAATTGTTGAACTCCTCTTAAGGCTTTGAAAGGCTAGACATTAAAATCCCATTTCATTTCATTTCCCCGAAATTTAATAATAAAAAGTCCTACAAATATTAGTAATGAGGTTTAATCTCAGATAAAATGAATGAATAATCCATTTTAAAACACCAGCTAAATTTCAGACATTTGATAGAAAATTTGAAATATTTCTGCTTTCTGAAGTTTAAAAGCTACAACTCTTAAAGTTTAGTTCCATTGATATGGAGAATAAATATTTGACAAGACAATTCTTGTCTCTTAAAGCATCCATAATTAAAAGAAAAGGTGTAGAACTCTTTATTGATCATGTGGATAATGTATTTAGAACAGACAACCTATTTAAAATATTTGTTCAGTTGGAAATATCTTCTGTCAAACTGAGTAATCTTACTAAACGGTGCTAAACAGTTGTAATTTCCATAGTAATGTGCCATTATTTAAGTGTTGTTGAATGGGAAAATTGTATCAGGGCACAAATTGTTATAAAATGTGATATACTAGAAGTTTTAATCTGTTAAAAGCCTGCAGGATGAAGCAATCTATACTCAAGCTAATTTGATGATATCCATTCCTTTAAAACACAAGCACCCTGATTGACTTGTGTATTATCAACTCTGTGATTGTATGAATAAAAGATGAATTTGTCGTGTTATCACCAATCAGTGCTATAACATAAAAGACCGTCTTTCAAAAGCAAATAAAAAAGGATACATATAAGGCATTTTATTAGTGATTGAGTGAGTCGTGGGTTAAAGCCCTACTTCATCAACCATTTATGATGATCTGTTGAACAGCTCTTTCTATAGACATAACTCAGTTCTAGTTAGAACAACAAAATTCACTTTTATTACATAATCAATATAGCATTAATAAACACTATGAATCCAATTAATTATATTTCCATAATCTTTTTTCCTTTCTTTTCTGATTTAATCGCAAACATGCAACAACTAATGGCTGGTTTTATTTTTCAGCTCGTCCATCAAATATAGAATCTCGAGATCATGAAGCAAGATTGTCTTCAATTCCAGTTACAGATATACAATCAGCCATATCCTCATCTATCTTACATGCTGAGAGACGATTACCACTCGTACCTGAATGTACCAGGCCAGAGTATTCATCCCTTCATGTAGAACCCCGATTATCACAGTCCCACATACCACTAGTCCTCCCATCACAATATTCATCTACCACAGATGTTCGTCTGAGTGATCCCAGAATGAACGACTCCATTTATGATACCAGACCATTATTTGTTCCACCACAAACACTTCCGTATACTGCCAGTAGTTCCAACTTATCTATTTTAGAAGAAAGTCGTGCAATCTCAACACTATCACTACCAATGACACATGGAAGTTATCCCAACATCTCACCTCATGATTTCTTCAGTCGAATCAGTCCACCAAGTGGATTATCAGCATCATATCTAGCTAGTCCGCCACCGAGAGTTTTACCGCCAACATTCTTATATCCTCATCTTTATGCTTCAAACTCCTCCCAGTACCAAACACGTTTATATCTACCAACTGGTGAAGTGAGAACTTATGAAGTATTAGGTCAGAGGTCATCTGATGGTCCTACTCGAGTAGAGAAGCCTGTCCCTGTATCTCCCACAGCCAGGCTAGCACTGGAGGGACCATCTTCACTTCATATCAGAGAGGAAGAAATGATGGAAGAAGGAACATCATCATCTGATTCATCTAGAGATGTCATCATACCAAGACCAAGTCAGAGATCTTCATCAAAATCTCCGCCTAGAAGAATACATGACCCAGAACATAGTTCTGTATGGCGACCATATTAAAAAGCCACTTACCAAAGATTTCCCCTGGCTACGTTCTGCTCAGTGTTATTTTTAAATGCTAAGATACTCTGGTTGGATTGAACCTTTTCTTCAAAAGGTTGACAGAGGAGCGACTCAATTGAGGATATAAATAATAATTGTTATGATTTTACAAAAGTGCTAATTGAGGATGCTACTGTGAAGCATTAGAATGTTGTTATAAAATGGTGACAACAGCAAACCTGATCAGAAAGATGTTTGTTGACAAGAACTCTAAAAAGATTGTTTGAATTCTTGACATTGTGTAATCAAAATTGTCAGTAGAGGAGAAAAACCATGATAGGACTAGTGCATTCAAAATGTGTGTCATGAGTTTTTGTAGGGTGACAAAATAATGTTGTGTTTATGACTGATGTTATATCAAGAAAGTTCAAGTAATTTTAAGTTATAGTGCTCAATAAATGGGTATCAAATACTCATTGAGACATACACATCCATTGTGTTACATGTATTTCTTTGTTCTTTATCATATAATCCATCTAGTTGACGTGTTAAAATATTGTTTTACGAAATTATTTAGTCCTATTCGTAATAATGCCTTAGATTTGAACTTTACAATATGTTTTCTTTTCAAGGATAATTTATCATTGTCAATGTTTTAGAAAATTTAGCATGATTTAAATTTAAATCAGTAATCTTTTTAAAATTGTTTGTTATATTATTGAATATTTTTCTTTTTAGATTTATTGAAGACTGTGTAAGGTTGTGTTGAAGCTATATCAAAATTAAACCTAACCTTTTTGTTGCCTTTTCATTATTTATGTAGCAAATTAATACCAACGTAAGACGTCATAAGTAATAAAAATGAAGTAAATATTGTAACTAAAGTAATATTTTATTACATAGACAATCTTTTTATTTTTAAGACAGAAAGTAAAATCATTTTTTGACAGACATTTTTATTAAATGTTCAAAGGATATACTCAGTGGAGTGACTGCTATGACAATTATCATCATTCTAATGTTATTCCCTGGGAAAAATATTTTCATTCACAATTTACATCAATTAAATAACTTTTTACAAATAATTTGTTCACTATGCTATAGTGTATTTTTTCGTATTTATATTTTTAATGTTTTTGCACTTAAAAGCTTCTTGTTTTTAATACAGAATTTCCATGTTTAATTTATCATCATACCTATTTAATAAATACCAAAGATGTATGATGAGATCATTAATTTTATGTGCCATTTATTTATACTTGTCAGTAATGGTTGTAGGGAGTGTACTGTAGAAATGACTAAACTAAATCGTGGATAGATTTACTATTTTACTTTATAGGCTTGTATACCAGGTACTTTAAAAAGAAAGGGACTGAATACTCCTTATAATTAACTATGTGAGTAATAATGAGTAAGAATCTGTTTACCAATCTGTGGGTGGACTGAAAAATTTAACACTTCTATTTGCAGCAGGGGTAGACATTTATTTATTTACATGCACAAGTCTTACTGCAGTATTATATAGAGGCGAGTACATCTTTGGTAGTGTAAGTTTATCACACATCATGTTGTACAGAAATGAACTTATTTTGACATATATGGCCACACTTGAAAGTTTCTTAATAAATAGTACATTTATTTGAATTTTGACCAAATATGTTTGCATTTTGTATGTTGTTTGTGATCCCTTTTTTTAAAAAAAAAGAAATGGTGAAGGCTTCTCAGATTGTATTCCGAATGTTTTAGTGTAATACTGTGAGAGTAGGATAGATTTTATGACTAGAATGGAATGGTTTAAATGATAAAGCACACAGCAATGCAAGTAAGAATAAGGTATTAACTCTGGTTCATTCCTTTTCTGTGTTTTGTGCATATATGATGATTATTATTATTATATGTATTTGGAACAATTTTTTGTCCATTTTGACAGAAGTGATATTTTTCTACAATTTTATGTATATTTTTATAAATAGTAAGTTTGTGACTTGTTGGGCTCAGCCCAGTCAAAGAAATGGTGATGTTTTAAGAAGTATTAAAAAGGTTATCTATGCCAATAAGTGGTTTTAATATAGAAGGCTTCCAAGGGAGATGTTTTAAAGATGCAACACTTACGTGTGATGACGGCTTTAATTTATATGATGCTTTAATATTATAAGGCATTTAGTTGTGTGTGTTTTGTTTTAGAGGATACTAAAATTATATTATTACACTTAAAGTGAATCCATACATTGTTTTGGATCAAAGATTTATGTCCATTTTTTGTCCTGTACCCAAGTTTATTTAATTCCTTCATGGTTGTCACATATATTAATAATAATTTATTATATTTCAAGACTATCCCTGTAAGGAAATCAACTTTACATCTCATAAATAATCATAAGACCAAATGAACTTTCGTTAACTAAACTTATAGCCTTATCTTGTTTAAATGGCCACTAAATTGTACATTTGTACCTATTCTCTTTATTTGAAATAAAATAAAAAATAAATTCATCTTTTTTTCTGGTTCTGTTTATAACATATTGCAAACAAATTCTGGTTAACCGATAAAAACAAAAGAAATGACTGTGGCAAAACAACCATTCCCATCCTGTAACTTCAGCAAAAACAAGGCCAATAACACTTGTAAGTGTTGCCAGATTCCTATGATTACTGCCTTTCAGACCTGGTTGTCGTGTTTTTGCATTGTGTCACATTGGATTCTCCCAATCTTACAATGTCAGTTTAAGAACAGAAGCCACACTTAAATGTCTAGAATGGGAAAAATAAACGCATGTTTAACCCACAAATTGACCTATCCTCCAATCCTGGAAATAATGGTGGACATATTTTAAACGCGTGTCTTGTCCATAGGTGGCACATAATGCCCTGTTCTTTAGCAACAGTATTGTAGGGATTACTCGGTGTTTGTTGGTCTCATTTTACCTGACCCATGGATTTCAAATTGTTAAAAAAAAAATAAAAAAATTGTCTGCCATCTTCTTCCCAATAATGTAAACTTGCTTACATATAAAGGGATGGTTATCTGCTCTAAATTACACGAGTTAGATGTATGTAGTAAACTGTTTACAGTGTCGTATTTACATATTTTTTAGGCATTTCATGTTTTTTAGGCATTTCATGTAATTCAATCCTTCTTCCGTCAAATTTCAGTTCATTCATATACCTCACTCAGATAGGCTTACTGCTTTTCTATTTCACTCTTTGACCCTTATGTACGCTTTGTGATATAAGTTACAGTGACATTATTGTCATGACATGTACATCATGATTGTCCCGTTTAAACATTGGCCTTTTTCTGAAAAAAAAAAAAAATTAAAATAAAGTATTTGTTCTGCTTCCCTCTTTATATATTATTATTTTATGAAAGACGGTAATGAATTATAAAAAATACATTAAGTTATCACTTAAGTTGTCAGAGATGAACGCAACTATATGCATTCTTTCTTTATGATATAATGAACCAGATTGACCTGAAGTTTAATAAATAGCTAAAGTGCGATATCTATATTAGTCCAAGGTTTGGCATTCTGCTATACATAGGTAATTTCCTCTCTATTGCTACAAGAGTACTATATATTTCAACTAAACAGTGAGCCTCTATTCTTTGTTTGAGTTTATTACGCAGTAATTTTACTTGCGGTTTTGCGGTTTATGTCACATGGCGCTTTACTTATGTTGTCGACTTCCTCTATACACACTCCCTATATTTCAACATTGACATTTACAGTAATACAATATAAAATCGACCTATATACATAGTTCGAGCGAACAGGCCTATTTATTGGGGAATGATATTATCGGCATACATACATTGTGATAGGAAACTCAAAATAGGATAGGTGGGGGGGGGCGAATGGTTAGCGCGTGGGCGCTGTATCATAAGGTCTGCCATTGGGTCAACTGGCGTGGTTTCGATTCCCCGGTTGTACGTGACAAGGAGAAGGGTCGCCTGTCCAACCTCGTAGGTTTTCTCCGGGTCCTCCGGTTTCCTCCCACTGCTATAGACCCCTACGCGCAAGCGAATTATTGAAATAAAATTGAACCATATGTTAGTCTCGAAATGACCTAGTTTGTGTCGAGTGGACGTTAAACCCCATCTCTCTCTCTCGCTCTCTCTCTCTCTCTCTCTCTCAAAATAGGATACGCAGGTACATCGCCTGATTTAATAATTAAAACCAGTGAATTAGCAGGATTAGCAATAAATTAATATATTGACAGCCTCCTTCATCTTGCGTTATTGCTTAAAATTCATGCCATCATAGCGAACCAAATTTTTAAAATTAAGGACCACATATTTGCCCCCACACCCACGGCCCGTGAACTACTTGGCTTCACTCAACTGGCCCTAAAAGAAGGTTCTTTTAGGGATTATATCAGTAGCCCTGATAACTACTAATTATAGACCACTGATCCGCTCTTGTACGACGCTTAGTTCAGAAAGGGCATATTTTAAACCCCATTGCATCCATTCATCCATTCATGCTTTTCGGTAGTTATTTTAGCATTTCTATGCCCCCCCCCCCCAACCCAACCTCGTGTTAGAAACATCAACCATGCTTGATCAAATAGTTGGCCAATAGTTAGCATATTGTCTTTTTTATAGGTGTGCCACACTTGATTTTACATTGGCACTTTCCACAAGATGTTGTGTCACATTATTAACAATTCGTGACATTCCTTGTCATTAATAATTCCCAGATGCACACGAACAAAAAATTAAGCTAACCTCATAAAAATATCGTACATGTAACTAAACCATATAATATAAAAGTGGTTTACTTTTTAATCGGACGTGTTTTGCCTAATAAACAAAGGTCAGCCCTTTGTAATTCACATCAAGTAGGTTGAGTATATGTATGTGGTTTATTAGAAGACCAAACAGTCAAGCATTGGGTTTTCAGCAAAATGTGTGAAACTTGGTCAATATACATGTATTATATAGTATACGGATTATTTCGATTAATAGACAAGTCAATATGCTTTATTCCCTGGGTTCCCAACCTCTTAGTCGTGGGGTCATGGCGAACTGCTCTGAAACTTTTGAAAAAATGCTATGTTTTCATGAAAAGCATACACCACTTGCCACATTGGCAATCGTCTTTCGTTTATATAAAGGTAAACACTAAGTTGTCGACTACGTAAAGAATAATAAATGTAAAAAATTATGATGTTTCATAGTAAAGGGTGACTTTGTTCTCCGAGGCTTGAGATGCTGAATTCTGGAATGGGGTCGCAACCAAGAAAAGGTTCGGAAACACCGCTTTATTCTATGGTCCTTGTATAGTTGCCAACCTCGCTATCCTCTTGGATGCTTGAACTTGATAACTCACACATTTTATTTACTTTCTGTTTTTGCAACTGCCAGGTTTACACTGGAATAAATTGTGGGTCTATAAAGACTATGATATCATCATGCGATTAACAATATTCATGCGCGTGTCGAGGAGGGTTGGCGGAGCCACCCCTGCTCTCGCAGCGCATTTTTCCTCTCGTACGTTCATCGAAATAACGTTGTACAAAGTATGCGAAGCATTGCCGCCGTTTTAAGGCCCCACTCCACGCTAATATGTATGCATCTAAATGAGTAGATATAATTATTTTCCCAGAGCTTCTGATTTTATCAAATTCGCTGGTAATCCTCCAGACATCAAGTTGTGCCACCTTGGGAAACACAAACTAATATTTATCTTTATACTTTAACCGACAAAATAACAGATTATAGTATTCCCAGGCCATAAGACCCATTATTGTTGTAGATATGGCGTATTTTATAGTTCAAGCTAAATTAAGCTCTTTCGCACTATAGTTGTTTATGGTACACGGGGAAAACTATGTGTTTATTAACCAGAAGACTATATAAATATATTTAGAAACATAATTAATGATCCCATCAACTGTATTTACTTTCAAATTGTAAACAAGTTTTATAAGGAGCACGAACATATTGTTATTTTAAAAAAAATATTGGTCAACTATCCCTTGCACCAACCCGAATTAATTTCTAAATGACAATCTGTACACAATTTATATAAGGTCCAGATACCGCTGGTTAACTAAAAATAACAACAATCTTTTCTGTATTACATATCTGTGAGGGTTAAGGGAAGAGCATTTGTTTATCAATAAAGTCTGGCATATAATTTGTGGCATGTGGAAAGGTGTGGGAGTCACTTGCTACGAAGCACAGAAACGTTCGTCTGTCGAACGTGTTTGGTTATAGCCTTGATAGCAGCAGGCCTTTCATTTACTGTGACAAGTTCTAGTTTTATCATACAATTACACTAAATTGAACTATAGATCGTTCAATAGAACTATAAAACTTCACCACTGTTTAAAATAATGTCCACGAACTATAGTCAAAAAGCGATTTTTCGGATCACGGATTGTTATAACATTTTGCCACTATTGAATTTACACTACAGTACATATAGTTGCAAATAAGTTTTCTGTGCAGATTTGAACTTGCCGTGTGGGAACTTTAAACATACATTATATAAAAGCTAAATCTGCTTATTGCAGGTCTTTTTTAGGCCTGAAATGTTATCTAAATTATTAATTAGACATTAATTAACTTACCCAGACCATAATCAACCCTCGATGGCACCGCTAGCTTGCGATATTTATTAGATTTGGAACCGATTTACTGCTAAACTTTCAATTGGTTCACGTCGGCTGTGCCAATAGTTAAGACAAAATGAAAATTTTAAAATTGACACACGAATCGCCTGCCAGAATCCTTTTGAGTGTCATTTGTAATGAAGCGACTCGATGAACGAGGCTAAATATACCCCACAGGAGAATACTACCGGTGTAGAATGGAAAAACCAGACGCCAAAGACTGCCATTCAATTTGGATTCTTCGCGTATTTCGTCGAACATAACTGATTAGTAATTACAGTAAAAACAGAAACGATTGAATGTAAATCAGTTTACATGTATAAACATTCATATTACATTATTATATGCGTTGCGACCCATTTGTGTTCATTTATAGGTGCCAAAGATTAGGGATTTGGCTCCTTTAACATACAGTTATTATGTCTATGGATTCGACTGCCTAACCTCGAGGGTTTTCTCCGATTTCCTGTTCTCTCAGGTATAACGCATCTAGGCGTAATTTGCAATTACTATTTAAATGTGCCAATGATGTTATCAGGTGTATATCAACATCGTAAATAATCTGGTAAATAGAAAATAAATATTTCATCACAAAAATACGATTACCTAATGAATTATCCGTAGATAACCTGTGAGTTATATCTCTACAATAATTGGTTCATATTTCTGTTATAAATCATATTTTTATTCAAATTAGACTACACGTAAATGGATGCATGTTTTAGTAACAGACAACAGACGTAACGCGTGAAATCACCCATCGTTTAGTTCTCTAAAACAAAAACCCGACAAGGATTAAAATGGACCAACTCACGTTATGTATAATTAAACAGGTGAAACTAATTCACACAACCGGTTATTTTTCAATAATGATGAAATATTTACTTTCTGTTATATAAATTTTGTAATTTGACATTTCATACTATCACGTTTTTGTTAGGAAGCCGAGAAAATTAAGACGGGATATTGCGAAACAATAACATATTGTGTTTATTAGATTTTTACAAAAAATCTATTAACGTGGGTACGAATTATTGAAGAAATAATAATGGTTTGCTAAACAAAATTATCTTAATGTTATATCGTGAACATTTCTACCCACACAAACAAAACAACAGTGAATGCTTAATAGTCGTTTACTGCCAATGGTTTTCATGAAAGAATCGAGACATAGTATGCATAATCTTTCCAGAACGTCTGAAACCGCTTATCATTTAATTTTTCGAGGAATTTTCCAACATGGTTTCTCTGTCAGTGGTGCTGGACGGAAGACCTGGCACAAACCGTTGCCGTGCACTTAAACGAACCCTTGGCAGTTGGAAGTCGATGAAGAGTAAGGCGGAAACGCCGTTGTCCAGGTAAATTTTCCTTTGCATTACACTGCAATGTAAGACATTAAGACCCATTTTATTTTATTTCAGAAGACGAATATCATGTACAGACCAATTAGCAAAGCTAAGAATACCCACTCAACAGAACTTTATCACTTTTTGTGAACATTGTGAATTTCAAGTCTTCTATCACCGCTAATCTTTTCATTGATAATGGATAGAGCTAGTTCCTCGGGGAATCCAGTGGACATTAATCCAAAAGTTCGAAGACCTGGATTTGGTATCAAAATGTTGTCAAAACTGCTGGTCTAGAGATAAACGCAACATTGATGGGAGGCGACTGGGAGCACTGTAGAAGTAAGTATAAGTTCACGTACCTGGACAGTGTCGTCGATAAAACTTAAGGGACTGACAAGGATGCCAGAATTAGGGTTTCTGGAGCTCGTGGTGTGTCCAGTTGTTTAATTCGAATGTCAAGTACGTACAACTTATGGGTCGGCGACATGTGGGACTGAAGGCAAACTACGGGTATTTAGCAACAGTTCTGATTATAAATTGGGGAGATTGTTCGCATCACAGAAGAGGAGTCGCGGGAAAGAACAAACTGAACACCATAGTTGGTGGCGGATTGAACATTACCTCACACCGTCCTCATTCAAGCATCAAACGTATTTTTTTTTGTCCCCCGCCTTTCGAAGAAAGCAGGGGACTATTAAAATGGGTTCGTCCGTCTGTCTGTCTGTCCGTCTGTCTGTCCGTCACACTTTTTGGGACACAATAACTCTCTTCCTAATTGAGCTAGAATGTTCAAACTTGGTGTATGTGTTTATTAGGTCAATGCCTTGATGGAGTTCGAAGATGAGCATTTTCCGCTTAGGGTAAGCAGAGATAAGCAATTTGATTGGTTGATGCTTTGGGACACGATAACTCTCTTCCTAATTGGGCTAGAATGTTCAAACTTGGTGTATGTGTTGATTAGGTCAATGCCTTGATGGAGTTCGAAGATGAGCATTTTCCGCTTAGGGTAAGCAGAGATAAGCAATTTGATTGGTTGATGCTTTGGGACACGATAACTTTTAATTGAGCTAGAATGTTCAAACTTGGTGTATGTGTTTATTAGGTCAATGCCTTGATGGAGTTCGAAGATGAGCATTTTCCGCTTAGGGTAAGCAGAGATAAGCAATTTGATTGGTTGATACTTTGGGGCACGATAACTCTCTTCCTAATTGAGCTAGAATGTTCAAACTTGGTGTATGTGTTGATTAGGTCAATGCCTTGATGGAGTTCGAAGATGAGCATTTTCCGCTTAGGGTAAGCAGAGATAAGCAATTTGATTGGTTGATGCTTTGGGACACGATAACTTTAGTTCTAATTAAGTGAGATTGATGAAACTTGGTGTATAGTTTCATTACAGTAATACCTTGACTAAGTTTGATAATGAGCATTTTCTGCTCAGGGTAAGCAGAGCGATACGCAATTTGATTGGTCGAGACTTTGGAAAACAATAACTCTCCTACTTTGATTGTCCCCCGCCTTTCGAAGAAAGCAGGGAACTATTAAAATGGGTTCGTCCGTCTGTCTGTTTGTCTGTCTGTCCGTTCCGCTTATGGTAAGCAGAGATAAACAATTTGATTGGTTGATCTTCGAATTGAGTAAATGTTCATGCTTATTGTCCCCCGCCTTTCGAAGAAAGCAGGGAACTATTAAAATGGGTTCGTCCGTCTGTCTGTTTGTCTGTCCGTTCCGCTTAGGGTAAGCAGAGATAAACAATTTGATTGGTTGATGCTTTGGGACACTATAACTTTAGTTCTAATTAAGTAGATAAACAATTTGATTGGTTGATGCTTTGGGACACTATAACTTTAGTTCTAATTAAGTGAGAGTGATGAAACTTGGTGTATAGTTTCATTACAGTAATACCTTGACTAAGATCGATAATGAGCATTTTCTGCTCAGATTAAGCAGAGCGATAAGCAATTTGATTTGCTGAGACTTTGGAACACAATAACTCTCCTTCGAATTGAGTTAAAATGTTCAAAATTGGTGTGTATGCTTATTGTCCCCCGCCTTTCGAAGAAAGCAGGGGACTATTAAAATGGGTTCGTCCGTCGTCTGTTTGTCTGTCTGTCCGTCACACTCCTTCGAATTGAGTTAAAATGTTCAAAATTATTATAACCAGGTATTGATAAAAGCATCAATTGAGCAATTCCAATACAATGAATATAGGCAAGGTAAATAAACAAATAAATGGAAAAAACAAATTGAAAAAGAAACTATTATAAATTAATTAAATATGTAGTATGCAATAATGAATTGACATTTAATGACAGAAAGAAAACAGTGAACTTTGCACAACTTGCAGCAAGATGGAAAATAGACCCGTTGATACAACCAAACTCTAGATCTGTAGGCATAGAGCATGTTTTCCCCTTAATATGCTATAATTATTCCATCAAAAACATTGTATGCTTAGACTATAAGTAAAGATATACTGTTTGATTGTTCAATACTTTGTAAAAGATAATTTGTGATAAATTTATATGTGTCCTCTAATTATTTTCCTATTTCGGCGGGGGACATCAGCCTCACTGTTGGCTTGTTATTTTAGTAATTTAGTTTCTAAATTAAAGACCATTGGTATCTCATGATGAGAAACCAAGAAAATAGCTTATTCGGTGACAATCCACCGTGAATGCTCTATGTTCTAAAAGAAGACATTAAGGAAACTCCAAAGAGATATTGCACTAAACCTTCCATTGAGAACAGCGTGCATAAAAGCTCCACACAGTAATGACAAATACAACATACAACGCAAATTCATACGGGACCCTTTATGTTAGAAGGTCCCTTAAAAAAGTATGCTCCATTTTGGCTGCGAATATTGTCCGAATATCGTAAATTTTCCTGTTAAATTTTCTGATAAACATCCGAAAATAGTTTATCTTCTAGGAAGAAATAAGTGGGGCTTTTTCCCGCAAAAAGCACCTCTTTATGCATATTTATCAATACATCTATGACCAATTACACCATACATAAGTGTTAAATGAAAGACACAAAGCGAAAACAAAACGTTATGAAAAAATCACGATGAGGGTGTTAAATACATGTTTTAATTTTATAGATCAATATACAGTCCTTTGTTAATCAGATCATAATCGGTAGAATAGGCCAAGAATAATTTAAAATATTGAATATTTATAGTCATATGTTAATTATACATGTACTTAATTGGTGGTGTACCTATAAAACGCTTTCAACATGGTGTTAAATCGATACATACTCCTCATCCATATGTTACTTGTTAGACGGCTGTCAGGGGCAAGTAACCCTGTTCCGTTCTGCTTCATATCTCGACCCCGACAACAAGATAGTTGGAGTCAGGTCACTACCTTCTAACCCCATCTTTTGTGGAACCACGTTTGCGGTAATTAGGAAGTTTATCACATTAATTTGTCTCTGACTCTTGAGACCAGCCTTTGTGCTCCATCGCAGTGTGATGCCATTGATTAGAGAATTAATTGATGCCCATACCGCCTTCAGCTCTTCCGAAAGCGCAACGGAGCACAACAAACAATATAACCTCCGACAATCTTGGTCACTTACATTAAAAGGGTGAGGAAATGACAGAAAACTCAAGAGACAATAAAGTGTAGGACAATAAAAAGTCTTCAATCAATTTACTATATGTTAATTTATGATTATTTCTCAATAGATTTGTAAATTCTGAATATTAATTTGAATCTGCGCAGCAATAACACTTTTTAGAAATTTGACATTTGGGCATTCTAAAATTGCTAAACAAAAATGTATATTTAATACTTCTCCAGTTGTAAATACTTCTATAGAACCGGGGATCTATTTCTGAGGAAAAGGTATAATTTACGCTGTGATACATTGAATCATCGTCAAATAGTGTCTGACCTCGTAATTTATTAGTAACTAAGTTAGCCTCATTTGAACCTTTGCTAATTTTGGAATTCTTTTAATAGACCTTCATGTAGAATTTAAGAAAAGATGGTTATTTGTCGGGTGAATCCGTCTATTAAACCACGTCACGTCAATTCGCGGTTACACAAAACTTTTTGTTATCGGCGACAAGGGCCTAAAGCACGACCGCATCTGTCGACCGAACAATGACATCAAATTTGATCGATTTAGAGTAAGGAATTGTCGGTTGCACACTAGAAGATATGGGTTGGTTATTAAAGACACAGAAAAGAAGTTACTTGAAACAAAAAAATGACTCACAAAGACTTTGAAATTATGCTGGTTTGTGAAATCTCAAACGTAGTTTGTCTGAAAAATGTGACAGCAAAAACAAATGTAGTTCAAATTTTTTTATGTCTGTGGTCATTTTTATATTTTCAGTGTCGAACGTTTCAAAGTAAAATAAAATATTTAAAAGAACAAATTACATCTCACGAATGAGGTTATGTCAACTCGAACTTCTGAACATTCTGTGAAAAATAAAGTGAGTGGAATTTGAGTTATGAAGCCTGTAGGTTACCCAGCTATTCATGTCTTCTTGTTATTTATTATAAGCATTAACATACCAAAAAAACTAAAACAGAGTAAAATCATTTCATCTAAATCTAGAATTGCACAGAGTTCTCTGTATGGACCCCTCTTATTCATTCATTAATGTGAAATTGGATTGATTCCTCGCAATATCTGTATACAAATTGAATGACTCCATGTTTAATATGATAACTGTCTCAAATGAAAAAAAAATTGATCAAAGAAGAATCTAAAACTATATCACAAAAATGTAAATAAAAAATCCAATAAACAACAGTAACAACCATATGGTAAGGGGGCTATAAATTTTGAATTTTTCAATAATGTTTGGTTACTATAATAATAAGTATTGTCATAAGTAAAACAAATACACAGAGCAAAATAATGACGATTACCTATATTTGGCTATACTTTGCATTGCTATTAAAGTAGAGTGGGTTATACTATATATACGCCATTTTACATAATTTTGCACCTTATTGAATTATGTCGATTAAAAATTAACATTTTAAAAGCAATATGTGTAAACTGGGGGAAAATATGTTTTTGTTTTTTGTGTGTAGAAAGAATAAAATAATATGTACCCGATGTTTCCCTGAATTTACGTATTATTTATTAACTGGTCTTTTTTTATTTATTTTTTATGCATATAGAGCTTTTTATCACACTTTATTTATTGTTCCTCTTTTTTCTTATTTATCATTTTTCCTCTTTAAACTGATATTGTGAGTGGATTTATGATACCTCACACCATCACACGAGCACGAGTATTCTTTGATGTTTTGCAATGTTAAACAATAGGTAACAATTATTTTTATTGAAAAAAAATATTTCATTAGTTTTAATTAGTTGACATTGCAGAAATAAAATGCTAGACAAAAATGGCATTTAGAATAGACCACCTGCCGAAGGCGTGTGCTCGATGATTATTATTACTGTCCTTTATGTTTCAAAAACTCCCAGATCTGTAAGTTTTTAAGGCTGAAGTATCATAGATGAGAGCTGAAAAACAACGAAGCTCAAACAGTCCCGAATGAGATTACAAAGTACAAGGACAGAACACGTGCAGTCAAAAAATGACCCATAGAAAAAATGAAACTTTGTAATGTCTCATTATAATAAATGACAAAATCTAACAACGCTTGATATTTACATAATACCTTTCTTGTAAAATATTAAATCAAGCGATAACTTCAAACATGACCCGATTTCTTCGAAAACGGATACAATACAGTACTTTCCCCTCCAAGCGTTCAGTGATTTTTATTATTATTCGTTAAAAAATGGTATATATACCCAAGACCCAAAACTCGGCATGTCGCTTGATTTATCTAAGACTATTCTTCATTAGTCTTGATAAATTGAATGACAGATATTGCAAAATGGGTAAACCTACGATGTTTTCATTAATCACACGAAGCGTCAGGCAAGGCGATGTACTCGAGCCTTTTTTATTCTGTGTTCGTGTTGATGTTATAATTAACATCTTAGGTCCATCTGGCCGACCTTTGTACATCACCAATTTGTCATAAGCTCATCTCATATTGTGCATTAAGTATTCATAAAGATGACAAATTTTACTGAAATGCATTGTATCAATTTCTTTGGTATCAGTTAAAGAATAGAACAATAATCGCCTGCGATTCCCATGGTGATCTACAATATCAAATTCGATCTGATGAGTGACAGCTTTTTTTTAATATAGAAGTATAACTACCATACGTCAATCATATTTTCCACGTCACATGTCCAAAAAATGCACCCCGTTTACCATGAAAATAATAAGTGAGTTTGTTCTCATAATATAAATCCTGACCACGTTTTATTTGGCATCCAAAAATAGATTAACATGATCTGGTCGTATCATTCATTATATTTTGATCGGCCATATAATTAATTTAAAATAATTTTAGCGAAAAAGTTCACCGAAATAGAAAATCAGAAGTATATGTAAACTGTGGCTGTATTCAAATACTTATTTATGGATGACTTCAACATAAATTTAAAATATTAATTATGCAAAATTCTCCGTAAACTACACAGATGTTTCATTTGTTAGGCCGTTTTTACTGCCGATAATTGAATAAATTTAATTTGAATATACGTGAAACAGCAATAATAATCACATCCCTGGTTATACATACGCCAACAGCAATGGCGAATTAATGCTCTGTTGGTCCTTAGCAAAATGAGTAACCTTTAAAAATTGACCTATATGCTTATTTTTACCCACTGATCTCTTTTCTGGATACGTATAATATGGTTCAATTTTATTTCAATAATTCTCTTGTGAGTAGAGGTCTTTAGCAGTGGGAAGAAAACCACGATGTTGGACAGGCGAACCTACTCCTTGTCACGTTCAAGCGGGGAACCAAAACCATCCAACCCCCTTTGCTTCAAACTGAAAAATAATTGGCTTCGGAACTAAATGCTTCCCACCAAATTTTAAAAAATATCTCTTAAAAACTGTGGCCTCTGTAGGCCCTATCATTCACAAAGTGTTCGGAAAAGGGGGTCACTCCGGAAAATCGATAGGGTTTGTCATCTCATGTGATCCCAATTGAGTATTCACTGGTGTCTACTGATAAGTTCATAGCTGTGTTTTTGTGTATTTAGTCGAGTCATTCTATGTCTCTATGGCTATTCCCTGTCTACGGTTGTATTCCGTATGACTTACCATGTTTTCATTTTGCTTAATTCAAATATTTATCATATATATTTAGCCAGGTGTGCCGCTATTTTTTCATGTGTTCCAAGATGTGCCTTCGGCAAAAAAAAGGATGAGAACCACTGCACTACAGAACTGTAATCTCTATCTATATTTGGAAAAGGGGGCTTAGCTCTAAACTGGAGGTCGCAGCCTTGTTTACCTTGACGAAATCTGCAGGTGGCCTTAATAATTAGATCCAACCGAGGGGGGGGGGGATGCTCCGGAACGGAAGGGCGCAACACGCTGAAGACTGTGGCCTCATTCGCGTTCACAAGCCAATTGTTGACCACACTGAAACGTTAACGGGGAGATAACTCCGAAATTCTAAAATAAATATTCTGAATTTCGACATATAATGTGAAAGAAAACTCAGAAATATAGGCTACAATGGATTTCATTCCTGTGCTTAAATAACCCATGCGTAGATCCGAAATGGTCGGAAATGGCACCTAAGGGTGTGTGTGTGTGGGGGGGGGGGCACTCAGATCCATCCGCCGTGGACTTCGCTTGGGAAGTGTCACTACAACATTTCAATGTGAAGTTTCTGAACCATCCCTGCTGAAAACCCTGCAACCCCATCAAATTCTAAATAATATCACCGAGAACTTTTTCTGGCATCGCATTCACAAAATTCCAAAATCAATGTAGGCCTATAGGCGTGGGATAACGCCTTCAAAATCTGTAATCCGAAAATCGTGAATTTCGATAGTGCACCCTCAATCGTTTCAAAAATATCATTAATACATCTGCCTCCTTACTCCTCAAATGAGAAGAGATATCTGTATTTCTTTTCTACGTTTTACATTTAATCACTAGCAGCGAATTTAGTTTTGTGAATCGCACAATTCCACAAGGAACCGGGCCAAATCTATACAAGGCCAAATCGCCATACTGGTGGCGTTGACACGGACAGCTGTTCTGCATTATATAGGTACCTTTGGATAGACCTATTCACACTGCATCCTTTTTATATACTGAAAGTGTCGTTTCTAGAAATTCAGAATAAATAATACATAACGTTTAAACCGGAGGCTCAGTGCGCGGGAGTTTCCATCGAATGGGCACAAAACCAGACCAACTTTTCTGTAGTAAAATTTTGCGTAAAATACGATGCCGAGTGGTAATCAGTCCGCCGTTGGGGCGTTTTCGAGATATTCGGGGTCAAATATCAATGAGGTCATTTGCACTGAAAGTGGATGAGCAGCCATTCTTGTATAATGAAAAAATGCTGAAAATGATCGAAAGTGACCACTCTTTCAATAAAAATGGCTACATTCACCTTTGTTCTTTGTGACCCCGGAGGTCAAAAGGTCAATTTGTTCGTTTTTGCACTAGGAAGATTTAAAGCAATAAAATATCAGCGTAAAATATAAAAACTAAAGCGAAACCTGCTCTAATTAATAATGAGAACATTTAAATCTTATCTTTAGGTGGTCTTAGCATCGTACATTTACTTTGGAACGTCGAAAAAGATCTTGCATGACAAAAACAAAACACTTCGAAACCTGTTTCAAAAATACGTAAAAACTGTCAAATATTCCGCAATATTACTTTAATTCTTGATAGGCATTTGGGGACATTGAATAAAAAGACGAAAGCTGATTTCATAAAGACTATAATATTATCTTTTAGTATATTCTGGTTTATCGTCACAAAAAGTAATACATATTACTTGATTCTTGATGATAGGCGAAGAAGAAATCTGATATCAGAAAGACTATTATTTACTATGTTCTGGTGTATCGTCACAAAAAAAAAGAAAAAAAGAAAAGATATTTACAAATAGGGTTTCATCACACGTGTTGTAAAAAGGAACAAAAGAAGTAACAATTGATTGGTTAAGACGGCTTTAAATGTAAAAAAAGAACCTTGCCTAGAAAATAGCAAGATGTGTTAAATCCCGTTAACCCCCTCCACGTGCTATAATCATTTTAAATCACATCTTTTGTTCAACCACACACTTCTCTCATATAACGCAAAAAACAACAAAACAGCCAGACCTCGTCTACTGCACATTTCTTTGTTTAATGGCAACTTCAATATTTACGTTCAAATTTACGCACTGTATCTGATAAATTGTTCATAAACCTGCATGTAGCAGAGAAACGTGCATTGTTATGTAAAACGGTTCACAGCGCAGATTTGAAACTAATAGCTCCCGAATCTTTTAAATATCTTGCATTATCTACAAAAAGACCCATGAAATATGCAATCGCGATCACGAGTAGCCTTTTATATGAAATATCGCATCATACGCTTGATAGGAATTTTTTCTTTAAGAAATAAAACATTAAATAGAAGGTATAAAGAAATCGAGAATAAAACACAAACGCCGAGGAAAAATTAATACTTGATATTGTCTATACAAAATAGAACAAAAATGCTACAAAAGGTGACACGTTTCATAAAACTTTGTTATAAATCGTTTAAATAACGTGATAGTAGAATTTCATTAGGTAATTAATTAAAATTTATTCACGCATTCAACCAACACTGTCTAAATCACTTCTGGCATAACTTACATATTCAACATGACATTCAAGGGAAACATACATAATGCATGAAAGGTACCTTAGTACATGTAAATATATGCGAAAAAATACATAATACATTTAAAAGGCATAAAAGTATTTTATATACCATACAAAAAAGCTATCATAATGCAGATTCTACCAGATTGTAAATTTTAAAAGTGGAATAATCAATAATGTTAATAATATGATACAGCACACACTGCCTTTAAAAAAACACATGACCTATATTC